TTTTTGTGCCAAAAGGTCTCTTGGTAAAAAGTCTCTCTAGTAATGTTTCTCGAGATATTTGGAATCAAAATTATCAATACCTGGGATCATTGACATAAATTAAACATGTTGACTAAATAGTTGTCAAACTGAAATCATAAATTTGAAATGTTTTTGTGTCAAAAGTTCAACAGAACCTGTTTAATCATCATTTTTTCGCAGAAAAATTTATGATTAATTTAAAAAAAATAAAAATTTATTATTTCAGTCAAATAACTCTATTCAAAAAAAAAACGTGTGCTTATTTCTTGTCAATAATGACATGTATTGACTATTTCCATTTTAAATATCTTGAGAACGGTTGCTCGTAGCGATTTTTACCAAGAGACATTTTTTACGTAGAAGCCATGGAAATGTATATTTTTTTAGTCAGTAGTTTTATACAGGTACCGTCGAAAAGTTATTACTCTTCAAAACAGTCAAAACGCATGTAGGTGGCGCCCCCTACAAATAGACATCAAAATCAAATTTCTTGTGTCACAAAACTCCCAGACACCAATTTTCATCCAGATATTGACGTCACTTCAGAAATTATTTAGAAAAAATCGAAATAAAAATGAAACTTCTACACCCTGTATCTCCGAAACTAAGTATTTTAGGACGTACATTTATACGAACTTTTTTACTTATTTTTATCTGCAGAATATGCTGCCGGAATGCAGTTCGGACCACCCCGTATATTTTTAAGAAAAATGACACAATAACTGTCACTTTCATCAATTCTGTCGTATGACAAACTATAACTAGATAGGAAGTATAATAATTTGCTAGCAAAAAACAGGAAAGTAAAAATATTTTACATCTTAAACATAATATTAATATTAGTATAAATAGGTATATAAATTATATGTTATAAAAACTATGTAGGTACATAAATTAATTGAAAATAAAACATTACAGTACATTTATACTAAAATATAACTGAAGAAAAGTTAATGTGGAATCTCCTTCTAATGTATGTTGAATCAATGTTATCAATGGCATGGTGTAGTTAAATATACATATAAGGGAGAGTCTTAAATAAGTGCAAATATTTTCATGGCCGGTTGATCCCGATAAAAGATACATATTTTTTTACCGTTTTTTCAAATATAGTCTAAAATATCCGATATTATTTTCCAAACCAAACCAAACCAAACCAAAATATCCGATATTATTTTACTTCCAAGAAAATTTCCAAAAGAAATCATTTTTCACTTAAATTTTAAAAAGCGTTTGATTTTTTCTGGGTTTTCTTTCTTGTAAATTTAATCTACTACCTGTGTTGGCATCTTATGAAGATATTATATTTTTTAACTAAAAATTAAAAAAAATTCTAAATTCCAAATTTTTTTTCGCGATATAACATCATAGACGTATTTCTGGGGTCGAAATATACCACCCCTGAAAATATTTGCACTTATTTAAGACTCACCCTGTATATAATACATACCTTCACACAATCTATTAATTATCTATTAAAAAAACATATATTAAAACTTTTTTTTTGATCTAATTTTGTTCAAATCTGAAAGTTTCAAAAAATATTTAAAGAAATAGTTTTTCAAACGTTTTCAACTCTTGGTACCTAATCTAACCTGAACCAGCTGATAATTTGCTTATATTAAATAGAACCACCTATTATTATTGTATATGGAACCACCAATGCTATATACTTTAGATTTCAAACAATGGAAAAACATTGAATTAAGGGATAAATAATATTATAAATAAAGATTTTGGGATTTTCTCTCGACAGGATCTCCATAGCGATTGACTGTGGCATGTAAATACGACCTTAAGACTGTCGCTTGCCGATATGGTATAGGCAGTTCCATTTAAAATAAGCAAATTTTCAGCTACTTGGTAGTGCAGTATTTTAGAAATAAAATAAAAAATTTGTATTTAGCATCTTAGTTAACAAACCACCTGCCTCACATTTCAAAAAAGAAATAATATATGTTAAGAAGGTACTTAAAATTACAGCTACTAAACTACTGGATTGACTATTTTCCGCCCGTTGCATAATGACTTGGTGCATGCGCAGTATACTAGTTCAACATCTTTCGTGCCACTTACTTTTATGACAATTTGTTATCTCTGAATGTCCCTGATATATCCGCACTCTCGAATGACTCTTTTGCGCATGTTAACCAAAATAGATAAATTACATTTTATAATCAATATTTCTATATTAATAATAATAACAATGTTAATTTATTTGACAATTATTTTATTTTTTTAAGCTACGAAGGTGAATCCTGAATATTGATTTAAGTATAGGTATAGAAAAGAAGAAAGAATTCATTGGGCAAGCCCACAGTAAGATATATATATACACACATCGGAACAATTCAGAAGTGTGGTCTGGATTTTAACGTGTAAGACAAAGAATAATATAAATGACCGATTGACAGACAGAGAGACAGCATCAAGAGATCGGTGCTTTATGTTAAGGTTCGTATTGACTATCTGAAAGAACAAAGGAATGAAATTCGGTATATTTGGACAGCAAACCGAATGCATGCGGCCGTTCGCCATTCGGTTTGCTCCATCATCCGTTTCCAGTCGGTATATCAGAGACGTTCGTAAACGAATGAGAATTATATAAAAAATTATAATACCGCATCATACTCACTATGCGTGTATGAACGCATGGATGCATCAAATCAGCGCGTATTGAGTATGGGGCTTAAGAAGCAGCGTGGTAAAGGCGTTGTTCCACTGTTCCCATCTTAAACTTTGTCAGTTGTCATAAAAAGATTCTTATTAAAATTCTAATAAATTAAATTTTACAGAATTCATAGCAAAACTTTTAAACTAAAATTGGCTGCAATACTAAATCTAAATGGAAATAAAATATTAGTACGCCTATGACTCAAGAGTTTGATGGGTCACACGTGGCGACAGAAATGCATGCATGGCTTCCAAATTTTAGAGAGGCGGGATGAGACCAATCAGCTAAGACAAATCAAGTGGTGGGAAAGAATATGGCCGTAGATGCCAGGTCTAGGAAATATTCCCTAACATTAAGGTTTCTATCGAGGAAATACATTTTTAGAAAGCATATTTTTGGACACAATTTAGTGTGTGTATTTAATTTGTTTTCTCAAACTTGGCATTTCTAAAAGTATCATCAGATAAATATTTTAAAAGAATGTTTTTTGTCGGTAGATTGACCGTGCCAACCAGGCTTCAGGAAATTTTCAAGAC